CTTTTCACACCCCAGGATCAGAGCCCATCCAGAGTTAGAACTTGAGTGCATGCTGTTTGAACCCCCTCCCATTTTATTCCAATCTTGTTTTTTAAAATTCCTTTTAATATTTTCTTGCTCTTGTATAATTCATAAAAAAATGAAAACAATTGATTTTTCATTTCTTGTTTTTTCTACCACCTCATAATAATGTCTAGAAAATTGTATAAAAATAAAAATGGCATTTTATTTTTGTTTGATATTTTTAGCATATTTTCCATTTCAATGACTTTTTTTAATATCTTTTAGTGCATGCATATTATTAGAAAATTCATAAAAAATCGTAGATTCGATCAAATAATTCCATTCTTTTTTCTGTAGACTCATAATTCAACGTAGAATTTTATAGTACAAAAATATTAGTTTAATCATACATTTTCATTTTAATTGCATTTTTTACATGTTTACTGATTTTGAAGTGTATTTTGTGGCACGTCTGTCTTGTTGATTTTAGTTCTTTCATCTGGTAATGAATTTTGCTCTGATTTTTTAGTATGTTGTACTAGACTAATGCATGTTCCCCATAGATTTTTCATAGATTTTTTAGAGGTTGATTGATATTGTTTTAGGGTTAGAGAATAGAGACCTCACAACTTGTTGGTAACCCTTGACCATTCATATGTTAGGGATTGTGTAGTAGCCTTAGAAGTTGACTTAGGCTTTGAGATTTGATCTTGGGATCATAGAGCCATGTAGGTTTCCCCCTAGATTTTTGATAGATTTTTGTAGGGTGTTCTGTTATTGTTTGTCTGAGCTTGAGGATAGGAGAAGTCTTGATGGCTTCTGACTTTGAAGTTCAACTATGGTTGAACTTCAGAGATAGTTTCTTGTGGTTTGAGGACCTGTGGTTTCTTCTTGAAGATGGAGGCTGGATGAAGTCTTGTTGGAGCTTGCAGGGATGCAGTGGATTGAGGCTTAGTCTAGGAGCTTGTTCCCTGTTTGTGAGGTTCGAGATCCTGAAGTCTGAAGGGAGTTTATGGTACTTTCCTGAGGAAGGCACTATGAATGACTTTCATTCTTTCTTCTCACCTCTTTCTTAAGTATCCAATGATGTTGGAGCCTTCATGTGAGTTTAATTTCTCCTGAGGAGGAATGTAAACTGATCACAGTTGTTGAGCCACATAGGATACGATTCCTAAGTGGCAGTCTCCTAATACTTTCCTGAGGAAGGTCCTGGGGGTCTGCTCACTTAGTTCTTCTAGTTCATCTAAGATTTCTTAAGTATCCAATGATGTCGGAGCCTTCATGTGGGTTTAGTTTCTCCTGAGGAGGAATGTAAACTGATCACAGTTGTTGAGCCACATAGGATACGATTCCTAAGTGGCAGTCTCCTAGTACTTTCCTGAGGAAGGTCCTATGGGTCTGTTCACTTAGTTCCCTTAGTTCATATAGGCTTTCTCAAATATCCAATGATGCTGGAGCCTTCGTGTGAGTTTAGTTTCTCCTGAGGAGGAATGTAAACCGTTCACAGTTGTTGAGCCGCATAGGATATGACTCCTGAGTGGTAACCTCCTGGTACTTTCCCGAGGAAGGCACTATGAGTTTGTCTGCTTAGCTCCCTTTCTTTGGTAAGCTTGTTCTGAAGCTTGGAGACTGGGATTGATTCCTCTTGCTTAGGGTTTTGATTAGAGTTTTGCTTAGAGTTTTGTTTAGGGCTTTGCATAGAGCCTTGTTCAGGGACAGATTAGAAGCTTGTTTTAGGTTTGTTTAAGGGCCCTGCTCAGGGTTTTTGTTTAAGCTTTGGATAGAGGTTTGTCAGGTTAGCTAGCCTTCTCTTTATGTTGTTTGACTTGTGTGGTGTTGTGCTGCATTAGACTTAGGGGTTCATCTAGATAGTTCTGAGTTAGGTGCATCTTAGAAGTAGGCTTTGTGTGCATGAGAAGTTGAGGTGGTCCTCCTTCTGCTTGTTTGTTATTGAGTGGCTTTGCTTGTTGGTATTTGGTAGAGCTGAGCTCCCTTACCTCTGTGGTTTGCGGCCTCTGTGCCTTGCTTGTTTAGTTGTTGCATTCATGCATGTTTCCAGTATTTCTTTACTTTGCAGTTGATTCCTGTTTGCTGTTTAGTCCTGCTGCCATGATCCCTTAGGAGCTCTGACTTCTCCGCTGCGGAGTCGTTATGATAGACATTAGGATGGTCAACCAGGCATGATAACAGTAGGTAGATTCCCCTTTTTTTCAGCTATAGTTTTAGGGTGTCTTTTCCCTTTCCTTTCCGTAGGAGCTTTTGAGTAGCTTGTGTCGTAGTTAGCCGAACTACAGCTGCTCTGATTCCTCGTACCAGATGAGGATATGTAGGCATAGGATGCGATATCCTAGCGAGCACATTAACAACTAACCCTTTGTTCTCTCGCGGCTGTGCGATCGAGACTTTCCCGCTGACGACTAATTGTTCCCCTTTTCTCTTGCCCGAGTGCACTTGAGACCAGATCGTAGTTGTAGGTCCCCGAACCTTTGAAACCAGTTTATTTTCTCACTGCTGTGTGAGAGCCCCCTGTTTAGCCGTAGTTAGTCGAACTACGTTTGCTCTGATCTTCCATGCTGTGTGGAAGTACGTAGGCACAAGACGCGATGTCCTGGCGAGCAACCTTTTCCCCGTTTAGCCGTAGGCAGTCGAACTACGTTGACTCTGACTTTCCCATTGCACGAGGGAGTACGTAGGCCCAGAACACCGTATGTTCTGTCGAGTCCTGTCCTTTTCTTTTCTTTTCAGACTGACCGTTAGCGTAGATAGATAAACACCCTTTTCCTTATAAACACCAAGCGTGGATCCCATCGAGTACGATGGACGTGAGGGGTGCTAATACCTTCCCCTTGCGTAACCGACTCCCGAATCCAGGTTTTGGTTGCGATGACCATACCTTTTCCCGTCTTTGCGAGGTTTACTTCGAGCATTTCCTTTCCCGCTCTGAGGGATAAATAACGCACGGTGGCGACTCTCCTGTCAAGCCGGCGCCGATTTTCGCAGTAGCGACACCTTACTTACACCATCTGCCGAATACCCGACCGATAATATGATCCCCTGAGTTAACCCATGTTAAGGACTGCTCTTTATTTTGCAACTCCTTTATCATTCTGCAGTCTCGAACCTTTGGTGGCCGCCTGAGAATGCTCTCTGATCGTTACGATGATGAGACATCCGGCATGAAATTTTTACAATAATGAAACATTCGCGTTATTTGACTGTGGCAGTGTTGTTGCTGCCTAATCTCCTGGAGGCAGTTTCTTCTGGTCATGTTCGGGCCCGAGGTGAACTCTAGTTTGGATTTGACGACACTTATCCGAAGGTGCACCCAGCGAGGGTCGATCCATAGTGTTGCTCGTCTGAGGGTGAAATGGATCGACTAGTCCTAGATTTGTGAATTTGAATTTGGATCTGAAGGCGTTCACCGACCGACTTTCCCATGCGCTTGAGGTTGATACCCCCGGTCGACAGGAATGTCGTCGGACTGGATTCTTGTCCTTTGGTCGTTTTATGGTGTTGCTTCACTACAAGCCATAATCGATACAGCCGATTTCTCAGCGTCATATCGGAATTCGGTGGATCCAACGACACATATATGAGATCTTGGATCCTCTAGTCTTTGATTTCTTCGCTCGAGACGTTTTCGGAGTTTAAATCTGCATATCGACTGTGGAGCCATGAAAATCGCAGGAATGGGAAGTCGATTCCCACAGACGACGCCATTATTTTTTTGCGAAAACTATGACATAGCGAAACATCTGATGCGCTACGTTGATGTGACACTATGGACCGAAGATTGCGATCACGATGCTTCATGAACCAACGGTATCGGTCTTGATGCTATGTCGTTTAACTGTGTTTGATATCTCCGATATGGTAGACCTAGGGGGTACTAGCATGATTAACACTTCAAAGCTCAAGTCAATTGAAGATCAAGATAGTGTTAGTGAAAGTGAAGATTAGAGACTGTGTACCTGAAAACCCTTTACGAAACGGAACATGTTGGATAATAGACCTCGTGCTATTGAGGCTTTGGCCGACGCGTAGCATAAGATTCCAAATCTTCAATCAACCCATAACAATGAATCTCAAATCTTTGACCAACACAAAACAAATCCTATTATTAAAATTTAAACAAATAAATCTTTTTTATTTTAAATCGTGCATAATCTATATTCAACAATTTTTTCTAAAGAGATAAAATATCTTTACTCCCATTAACAGTATGAGTAACCCTATACATCCATCTTAAATAAAAATAAATGAGATTAAAGGTATCTGTCCCAAATTAGTGCCTCTTAATTCAAACTTTACCTTACCTTTCCCAAGTTTCCTTTCCTTCATATTCTTCTGAGTTGAATGAAGTCAACAGTAAGACTCGTGATATATTGAATTATTAAGTCAAGAGTTAGACTCGTGATAATATCTTAACACGACACAACACAACTTTACTATCTTTATCACATCATATGACCATCATTATAAGACAAAAAATAAAATTTACTTTCTCACTCTTTTTATTCTTATTCTAATTCATTACTTTATTCATTTCAATTTTCATTCAAATTTTCATTAAAAATTAAAACCATGACAACTTGGTTTGGTCCTTTGTTTTCTTCATAGATTCCGGAGAGAGTGTCTGTCTGTGTTGTTGTTGGAACACAGAGACAGAGACAGAGAGAAGAGAAAAAAATGAGTTTTTTCATTTCATTTTCTTTTCTTGAGATCTGAAAGAACATCAAAACAAAATCAGAATGATTCCAATTTGATTCTTCTTTCCAGTTTTAGATTCTGCTTCACACAAAAAATTGATCTTTTTTCTTTCTTTGGAGTAAACCACAAGAAAAACTCAACATTTTGAATACCCTTTACTCAAAACGTTGTTGTTCTTCTTAGGGAAGAATATGGGTTTCTAAATTTAGAAGAAAGAGGAGTAAAGTTAGTGTCTTTCTTTGTTGGGCTGTGAAGATTCAATCTGTGAAAGAAGAACAAGTGTTTCAATGAAGGAAAGTGAAAAAGGGTATTTGGATCCACAGTTATGGCACGCTTGTGCAGGTGGAATGGTTCAGATACCTCAAGTGAATACCAAAGTTTTCTACTTTCCACAGGGTCATGCTGAACATGCCAACACAAACATTGATCTAAGGGTTTCTGTTCCGCCGCTGATTCTTTGCAAAGTTGTTGCTGTTAAATTCATGGCTGACCCGGAAACTGATGAGGTTTTTGCTATAATGAAGCTTCTGCCTTTGAGAAACTCGGAGGTTGGTTACAGTGAAGAAAGTGGTGGTGATGGTTTGGAGAATTCTGAGAAGCCTGCGTCTTTTGCGAAGACTTTGACTCAATCTGATGCAAACAATGGTGGAGGGTTTTCTGTTCCGAGATACTGTGCTGAGACGATCTTTCCGCGGCTGGATTACGCGGCTGAGCCGCCTGTTCAGACAGTGGTGGCGAAGGATGTTCACGGCGAGCTTTGGAAGTTTAGGCATATTTATAGAGGGACGCCGCGTAGGCACTTGCTTACAACAGGGTGGAGTAGCTTTGTGAACCAGAAAAAGCTTGTTGCTGGTGATTCTGTGGTGTTTCTGAGGTCGGAGAATGGTGAATTGTGTGTCGGAATTCGAAGGGCGAAAAAGGGAATTGGTAGTGGTTTTGATGGTTCATCTTGTGGTTGGACTTCAGGTTCAGGTTCTAACAGTGTTAATTGTGGAATTGGACCTTTTGGGGCATTTTCATTTTTCTTGAAAGAGGAGAATAAGACATTGAGAAATGGTTGTGTTGGTGTTGGTGGTGATGTGAGTGGAAGAGTAAAAGTGAGACATGAAGATGTTATGGAAGCTGTGAAATTGGCTGCTAATAACCAACCATTTGAAGTTGTTTACTATCCAAGAGCAAGCACTCCTGAATTTTGTGTTAAGGCTTCATCTGTTAGAGCTGCTATGAGGATTCAATGGTGTTCGGGGATGAGGTTCAAGATGCCTTTTGAAACCGAGGACTCGTCTAGGATTAGTTGGTTTATGGGAACCATTGCTTCTGTTCATGTTGTTGATCCTATTCGCTGGCCTAATTCCCCATGGCGCCTTCTTCAGGTATGTAGTATTATTTTGTTATCATTTGTAAAAAACGCGATGCACTCGTCTTTACATAAGAGACTCGATTTGTATGTTTCTTCAGATACGTATACTGTTTTTGTCAACAATGTTCAGTTTTTTGATCATATCTTACATTTATGGTTATATTATACTTTCTTGCTTATCGGTTCCTCGGTTATCGCTGCTACAGGTTACATGGGATGAGCCGGATTTACTACAAAATGTGAAGTGTGTTAGTCCGTGGTTGGTCGAACTGGTATCAAACATACCAGTCCTTCATTTCACACCTTTCACTCCACCGAGGAAGAAGCTGCGGTTTCCCCAAAACCTTGACTTCCCCCTCGGCGTTCAATTTCCATCACCGACGTTTTCAGGCAACCAGCTCGGGCCAAACGGCCCCTTCTTCGGTTTATCTGATAATGCTCCTGCATGTATACAGGGAGCCAGGCATGCTCAATTTGGAGGAATATCTCTTTCAGATCTCAACCTTAGCAACAATAAGCTTCAGTTAGGGTTGTTTCCTACTACTAATGTTCAGCACGTTGACGTGCGTACTAGGATTTCGAACGGAAACAACATGATCAACAATGATAAGAACAAAGAAAGCTTATCGTGCTTGTTGTCCATAGGGAAAAAGTCTGACAAGAGTTTGGAGAAATCTCAATCTGATGATGTTGTTGTTGTTAAGAAACATCAGTTTTTTCTTTTCGGTCAACCGATACTCACTGAGCAACAAATTTCCAAAAACTGTTCTAAAGATGTAGTAGATGAGAGTAAGAACAAAGAGAAGTGGTTTTTGGATGCATTTTCAGCAGGAAAAGCTTCTGATGCAGCTGAGTTTAGTTGGCAACTTGGGCTGGATATTGGTCACTGCAAGGTTTTCTTGGAGTCAGAAGATGTTGGAAGGACACTCGATTTATCACTTCTTGGTTCTTATGAAGAGCTCTACAAGAAACTGGCCAACATGTTTGATTTTGAAAAATCTGAGATGTTGACTCGCGTGTTCTACCGGGATGCAACAGGTGCTCTGAAGCAAACTGGTGAAGAACCCTTCAGGTATTGCTTGTGTTTTAGTTAATAGTTATGAAAGCGCGAACATAGACACAGACACCATACATGACATTGACAAGTTTCAGTTTTGTGCGGACACATTTTTTTAGAGGTGTCAGTATCCTAGAATATGTCAAAGACGGTGTCACTATAGTCTTTGAATGTATCTAATCATAACAACATCCCTGCATGTATTTGCGTGGACTTTTGTGTTCTTATTGCAGTGACTTCATGAAGACAGCAAAAAGATTGACAATTCTGACAGATTCAGGCAACAAAAATGTTAGAGGGTAAGAGAAAAAATGAGCTCAATCTTGTTTTATTCGTCTCTATAATTGATTACATGTTATGTTTTATGAAGCACAGACACCCCAAACAAAACACTGATACGGCGACACCGACAATAATTTGAAAAAAATGAATAAACTAAATGTAATTGTATGTGTCGGTGTCAGTGTCTATGTCAGTGCCCGACACAGACACAAATATGCATTTTTTCAGAAGTGTCGGTACTACTACAATTATGTCTTGTACTTTAAGAACTAGTCATTACTTTTATATTTTATAGGGACTAATTGACTGTGTTATGTTTTGCAGGGCCTGGATTACAGGAACTCGAAATGGTGAACATGGATTGGATGCATCAAACAAAACAGGTCCTCTAAGCATAATTGCTTAATGTGGTGTAACATTTGAGATATTGTTATTTACTTAATTTGGTGTAAACATATGAGTTAATGTTATTGATTATGATATTTGAAATAATATATTACTTACCTCTGAAAAGTCTGAATATGAAGAGAATATTATATAGAGAGGTTAATGTTGTACCCAAAAATAGAAGATTCTCTTATCTAGAAGGTAGGATTGTTGTGTTTATTTTAAGTGTGGAAGTAATGATGCATTATATCATTGTCAGCTATTATTGTAATAATGGTAAATCAAGATTTGGACCCCACATTTTGTCACTTGTTTATTATTACTATTGTGCACTTACCTTCTGTTTTCCATGTCAATAGTTCTAATTTCATATGATTTTAGATATTTGTATTCTCCATTTTGAGATGATGCTATTGTCAATGTCATCATAGACTTCTCTTGTGATAGTAACACTATATATTGGTTATTTCATCCAAACCCAAATCACCCACTAACACCCCCAAAACCACTTCAACTCACTTCAAACGCCTTATACCCTGCAAAACTTCCCTCAAGCAAGAAAAGGGACTCTGTTTTAATTGTGATGAGAAATTAATTTTGTCCCAGACATTATTGTGAGTCCAAATTACTTGTTTATTATGGAAGAGGACAAGTCATTTGATCTAAATTTGACAGTTGAATCCGATGTCTCACTTAACCTGAAACTTGACCCAACCCAAGATCAAATCCAAATTAGCTTATACGCCTTATCGAGCCATTTAGCTCTAGAGACACTAACTCTTGATCTAAATTTGACAGTTGGACCTAGTGAACCTGATCTCTCACTTAACCCAAAACTTGACCCAACCTAAGATCAAACTCAAATTAGCTTATACGCATTATCGAGCCATTTAGCTCCATAGACACTAATTCTTTATCTAAATTTGACAATTCAACCCAGTGAACCCGATCTCTCACTTAACCCAATACTTGACCTAACCTAAAATCAAACTTAAATTAGCTTATACGCCTTATAGAGTCATTTAGCTCCAGAGACACTAGGTCTAGTGGGTCGAATGTCTACCCATAATGTTGTTATTTTGATGGATTTTTTTTTAATGCACCCTATATATTATTAAGGTACTATGTAAAAATACAAAAATGCTTCTAAATTTCAGAGATGTATCTTCAAACACATCTTAAGTACATTGAATTTTGAGTTATTGTTCAAAAAATTTGGAGATGCATCTTCAAAAGTATTTTGGAGATGCATCTCCGAACGGTATTAGAGCTTAAATCGCGTCAGAACCCTTTTTCCTTATTTTTAAGAAAACATAAAAAAAATTTCAAACTCTAAAAAAAAAATTCATCAACCAAGTCTAAAATCAAACAGTCAAGCTCAAAGGTTCTTCAATCAACATCAAGTACATCAGAGATATCATTCAACACTGAAGTAAAGTCTAAATTTGTAAGTTTTTGATGTTTTGAATTTTTTGATTTTTTGGGTAAATGAGTAAAAATTGATGATTTAGATAAAAATGAATAGAAATTGCATGAATGATAGTTTTTACATTTTGTAAAACATGTTTGTTGGTTGAAAATAACGTCCAAACCAATATTTTTGGGGTTTGTATGTCTGCATTGTCGTCATTGAAGGACCTAAAGAGTTGCAGAAAATTTCAGAAATGCATATCTAGTATTTCTCAACGTTTGGATTCACATTACCCGGAGATGCATCTATGTAAATTATCATTCTGTTTTAATTCTTTTTGGCTTTTATTTATTGTATGGTTGCTTGTATCAATTGTCTGGTTTACTTACAAACATTATGGCTGATAGAGAAGATAGATTGAGGCACAGAAGAATTGCACAACATGCATTAGTGCAGAGGGAGGAGAGTCAGGTTTTAAAGGCTCGTGTTCACTTTAGCCAAGCAGAGGCATCTACTTTTGGGGCTCATGTTTCTCCATCTTCTTCTTCCTGTAGGAGACGGGTTTCACCTACCGACGTACCACTCTCTCCATCCTCTCCAATGCGACATGTTTCACGCATTCAAACACCAGAGGTACCCGAGTCACCGGTGGTACCTGAGGTACCAATGCCACCTCCGACTAATGAGGCTTCTGAGGCAGTGCCACCTCCGACAGATAATTCTTTTGAGCCAGTTCCACCTCCGTCTGCTGAGGTTGTTGAGCCAGTGGCACCTCCAGATGGTCAGGTTGCTGAGGATGATGATTCAGAGCTACCTCAGACATTTAGAAGAGGCCCTGTAGAGTTCTCACTACTGTCTTTGTATCCAAACCATATTGCTAGACATATCAGGGACGAAGAGGTAACATTAGTTAGATTCATTCTTTTTAATTTATTTTTATTATTATATTACAAGTTTCTGACATTGATTTAATTTTCTGCAGGACCGTGATCCGCTGAAGTTTATTAACCACGACAGAAAGATTATTCGCTTGTCTCAGTCGAATAAGGAGTGGTTTCATGCAAATTTGTCCTTATCTAGGATGAAGTACTTATGCATGATCGGTTATATTACGTTTAACCACAGGATGCTTAATGCATTCGTGGAGATATGGTACACTAAGACCTCGTCATTTCATCTACCGCTTGGTGAGATGTTTATCACACTCGACGATGTGTTGTATTTGATGCATCTTCTGATCATAGGAAAACTTCTAGATCATGGGAGGATTAACAAAGACGAGGCACTCGAGATGATGGTAGACTATCTAGGAGTTGACCCAGAGGATGCCATGACGGAGTTTGAAAAATCCAAAGAATGCCATGTGTAACACCCCTATTTTTCTTATAATGTATTATGTCTTAATCATTTATGTAAAAGAAATATTTTTAAAATCCTTAATTTTCATTAAAATGTTATCAACTATTTTTTAATTAATTTAAAAGTTAAAGCCATATTTTTTTAAGAAGAGATATAAGTAAATACCAACATATAGTATACATTATATTACAACACACATCATTTACTAATTATTTTGCCCGTGGGCTTACATATTATACAATCATAAAGCCTCGATAATTATTCCTACCACACCAGCAAGATAAACCTCAATGTCAGAACTATCTAGTCTTATTCACATTATCACATCCATTAGATTAGCACTACTGAAAAGAAAAGTCTAGGAACGTAGACCTATCTAGTCTACTAACTATCTGAAAACGGTTCCCAAACTTTCCACCACTAAGAGTCACCCAACAACATACCACTAGTGCCCATTGGGGACATCCCCATTAGCACCATTATCTCCAAGGTATTCATAGGGATCCTCCTCTAATTCAACATGACCATTCCTTTCAACTCCATTTTCACTTATATCAGCGTTATCATAATGAGGAACGTGTGGACCACAAACTCTAACGCGAGGAGAATGAAGGTGTGAGGCCTAGGCCCTCTAGGTCGAGCAGAGGTAAAACTCTCTCTAACACTATCTAAGTTGAGTGCTCTAATCATTCTTTCCATGGGTAGTACCAATTCTAAAGTGACGTTATGTGTAATAGAAGAAACAACTAATCCTCATATTTCTTTGGTAGTCCTCACAAGCCCTGTGAACTTTAAATTTTGGGCAGCTCTGCCTATCTCTCAAATTTCATCCCTCTACTCCTCAAAACATTCAATTTTCTGAGTACCCGAATGATCCAGCGGCTCCCCCAACATCATCTATAATGTAAGGGATGAAATACTCATACACAAATTTACATTGTGATGATGTCACAAGGTTACACATAATATTATACAATTATATTTAAATAAACCAGAATATCATATCTTAAATGGTTTAATTTCGAATATAGAAACAACATAAAGTAGTCACGTAGAATCATTTAATCACAAAAAACATTTACCAATTAAGAATACAAAACATCCTGTCAATATTCACAAAACAAATGTTAGTCATGATAAAAAAAATCCATATTCTTATTTACCATTAATAGTGTTAGTTTTTAATTTTCTTATTTAACCCTACTCCATGAAGACATCTATTCTAACATGAGCATAAGGTCGTTTCAGCTGCCATAACATGGTTGTTTGCAATGAGCAGATATTCAACTTCTACTCCAACCATTTTGATTTTAGCGTTACACCTTATTTTAGATAGTTTTGTATAGTCAGATATCACCGTGTCAGGTATTACGATTTCCTCCAGTCAGCGTGGCTAACACTGACTATTGGTAGGAGTTCAGAAAACAAGTGATCCCCAGAAGGTTTGTAGTCAACCTAATAAACCTATCCTCAGTCTTATATACTTCATCGTATTATAAGAAACAACCTGTTTTACTATTAAATCAAGTGGTTTATAAATTCTTTATATATTTTTTACATGAGTCACTAGTATTAATAACCAGTTTAATGTCACTATTAATAACAACTTCAACACATATTTTTACAAAATCTCAAATTTTTAATTTCATGAGTTCATAATTATAACTAAAATATATATATATATATATATATATATATATATATATATATATATATATATATATATATATATATATATATATATATATATATATATATATATATATATATATATATATATATATATATATATATATATATATATATATATATATATATATATATATATATATATATATATATATATATATATATATATATAATTAACACATTTCTTATACTCATCGAAACTTATTATTAGTAAATCTCCTTTATCTTTGAACTTTTCAATCTATCTTGAGAAATGACTTCTCCCAATTTCTAAAATACCTATTTGCTCAACAACATAACTATATTTCAACTAATTATCATTAAAATTTTAACATATTAACATATAAAAATAAAATTAATTAACTTTTAAAGTAAATAAATTAATTGTTAAAAATTGTTTTTATACTCATACTAGTTGCACATGTTACATATTTTTAAATAAATAATTAAATATAAATATGAATTTTATTTTTAAACTTGAGAAATACCATATAAAAATTATAAGGGTAGTGTTTAAATTTATCAAAACCACATGCATATATTTAACCCTTGGTTTTATT